TATGTCAATCAAGCTGAGATAAAGAAAACAACACAGCCATGATCACTCATATTCCTATTGTTCCTCCTCCATCTTCCCAATTACCACAGCAAGACACTCATCTCATTCCCATTCTCTCCTCTCTCTCTCTCTCTGCCTCTCCCTCCCCTACCCCTCCTTGGGGAAGTTAGCTCTGCAGCTCTTTCTTTTCTTAGCTTAAAAATATCTTCCCTCTGAGCTTTATCTTTTTCCCCCTCCATGTTTCAAAGTCTGTCTGTATCCCCCCCCCCCCACACACACACACACAATGGGTTTGGGAATAAAAGGCATACCCCCCAGGCAGGGCACTTGCTCAACTTAACTGGGAATGCCTGGAAGTGGAAGGTGAATATTTGAGGCTGACTTCCTTCCTCAGTGTTTGCTATCCTTCCAGTTAGGAAACTTGTGAAACAAACAAAAAGCACAAATCTTGGGTGTGGGGGCAGGTAAAAGACAGTAAAAGGGGGATAAATGGTGATGGAAGGAGACCTGACTAGGGGGTGAACACACAATACAATACAGGAAGGGGCAAAATTAGGTTTACAGTTGTGAGTACATACCCAAAATAGAGTTTATTCTTGTACTATTATTTAATTAGTTATTTTCCATACAAACAACCATAAACTTACTTTTGCCCCACCTGTATACAGATTACAGATGATGTATTATAAAACCGTACACCTGAAATCCATAATTTTATTAACTAATGTCACCCCATAAATTCAGTAAAAATTTGGGAGAAAAAACCAAAAGCACAAAACTTCGTAAAAAAAAATCTGGCAATTTCTCCCATCTGCCCTGGTAGCAGTTTTATAAATAGCTACTGCCATCTAGTGGACAAAGATGCCCTTACATCCACATACAGACTTTAAGGAAATGAAAATTGTCCCAAACTTTCCTATTTATGCCTCACCAGTAACTCCATTCTATCTTAAAATCCAAAACGCCATTGTTTACTATGAAAGCACAAGTCTTGGAACATTGTAGGTACTCAATAAATACTGTTTGAGAAAAGGATTGTTTGAAGGCATTATTTTAGTTCTTTACATGATTTTTAAATATATTTTATTGATTTTTTACAGGGAGGAAGGGAAAGGGATAGTTAGAAACATCGATGAGAGAGAAACATTGAGGAAACATCGATCAGCTGCCTCCTGCACACCCCCTACTGGGGATGTGCCCGCAACCAAGGTACATGCCCTTGACCGGAATCGAACCTGGGACCCTTCAGTCTGCAGGCCAATGCTCTATCCACTGAGCCAAACCGGTTAGGGCTTTCATTTTTTAATATATTTTATTGATTTTTTTACAGAGAGGAAGGGAAAGGGATAGAGTTAGAAACATCGATGAAACATCGATCTTTACATGACATTTTAAGTACATAAATATTACAATAGTGAGTAACTTTATTGCTGTAGCATTAAAGATAAAAGTTATTTCCTGCTCTGGCTGGTGTGCTCAGTGGTTAGAGTTTCAGCCCATGCATCAAAGGGTTGCAGGTTCAATCCTGGCCAGGTCAGGGCTCCTGCAGGAGGCAACCAATTGATGTGTCTTTCTCTCCTCTCCTCTCTCTCTCTTCCTCCCCTCCCTCCCTTCCTTTCACTACCTCTAAAAAAAAAAAAAAGCAATGGAAAAGTATCAAGTGAGGATTAACAAATTATTGCCTTAGTAGTTTAAAAGTGTAATGGTTACTGTTGGATCAAACAAGCTATGGTATGAAAAATACATTTCGAAGTCAGCCATGTTATTGCTCAGTTCAGCTAAAGCCAGCCTGTGACTCTAAAGCTGGATGTGGAGGTTGAGGGACACAAGTTTTTGCTCTCTCTTCCCAACCCAGTAGTGCCCTGTGCAAATTTCAGAACCAGGCATCTAGGCCAAGACATTCCCTCTTACAACCACCTCCTTACAAAAATTCATGCAAAAGTAACATTATTCTTGCCGCCCTACATACTTATGCACACAGAGCTCGACTATCCAGCCATTCTTCCCACGTTGTTAGAATCAAATAAAAGAAGTGGAACCACTTGCCAACACTGAACTGAATGGAAAATGGTAGACATTAGTGTTCCTATGGCCACCTTCTCTGCATCTTCCTTTAAGCTTTCTCCAATAAACGACTTACGTAATACTCTTTCCAGGGTCTTCCCACAATCATTAGGCTACCTGGTGCCTGTAATGTCACCTTGTAATTGTCCTCAATCCATCTTGTGTATGTCAGTCTCTCCTGCTACCCTGTAGACATTTACAACTGGAACTGATCTTCACTAGCTTTGTGTCTACTCCCCCAACCAGGCGCAGCCAGCAGCAGAAGGCTGATTAAAAGAAAGACAAAGCAAAGTTGATTTGAATTACTTGGATCCTTAGACGTCTAGTTGCAAAGGTCCATCTACAATTGTGAATCCCCAAGTACTGGAGAAAACAATGTGAAAGTGAACTCAGCCTGGCCGGTAGGTCACAGTTCAGGGCACATACCCACCCAGGTTGTGGGCTCCAGCCCCAGTAGGGAGCATGCAGGAGGCAGCCTGTCTATAATTCCCATCATTGATGTGTCTATCCTCTCCCTCTCCCTTCCTCTCTGAAATCAATAAAAACATAAAAAAATGAAAAGTGAACTCAAGATGAATATTGGGACCAAATTAAGTACATAATTGCATGTACGTACTTTTTTTCCCCAGTAAGCATGAAGCCCAGATAAAAATACAGGTTTTGGAGTAAAGTTCTGTATTCAGATGAGCTGGGCACTTTATAATTCACTGCACTACTGTGCAGGAACAAAAATGTTTGTTTTTAAACCTTAAATATAATCTTTAATGAAAGTCACATAAATTTAAAAAGGGGTCATAATGGATGAAGAAATGGTAACATGCTTTCTTATGAGTGCCACATCTCTGACCATACAGATCTCAGATACATTTTGGCTCTTCGTATGAGCATTTTGAAAGAATGGAGCTACATAAACTAAAGGACAACCAAGAAATACAATTAGTTCTTCATCAGCACAATAAGGCAACAATTAAAATAATTTCCCTAATATAGTTAAAGGCTAATCTTTTCATTTACATATTTATAGGCTAAAGTGTAATTACCAAAGAACATATACAGCACAATAAACAAGTGTCTTAAGTCTAGTTATTTTGATAGTTTTTCTCACAAAAATGTTTTGAAGTTTTTTATAGAATGTCAATGCCTGAATTTCCTCCCCCTGGTTTACGAGGTTACTTTTCTCTGAACCTTCTTGTTCAGATTTAACTAAAAATAAAGCAAATAATTCCCACCCTCCTCCCAAACCCCAACTATTTTCTACTGCACATGCCTACCAATGCATTTTCTTCCATCCACATAAACTGCGATTTTTCCCTCCAATGTTTCACTGATGCAACTTATGGACAAGAAAAATTAACCCGAGTGCCGGGGAGCGCTTGCGCTCCTCCTTTCGCCAAAAGTGCCGGGAACGCTATCAAAGCTTCGAAATGGCATCCAGTTCTAAGTCTGCTTTTATTAGTGATGATATTGCTAAGTATGTCAATGTAGTAAAGGTTTCCTTAAGTTTTTGAATATGTAACTTCATTTACTTGCAACTCGTATTTTCCTAAACTGCTGTAAAATCAGCAAAAATGCCTTGGCCATTTTGGCATAGTTCCTGGGATATTGGTTGGCACTCAAAAGGGTTAACTGTAGCATTTATGAATGGCAATCAGCCTCTTGGTTATGCTCACTGAACTAGGCTGAGAATTGCGGTTATTGAGTTATGAAATCAGACTATAGCCTATGCAATACCTGCGTTTTACCAAGAACCATGATAGAAGCAGCAATAGGTGGGGTTACTCTGTGAGCCTTGACACACCTAGAATCCTAAACTGACCACCAGAGACAAGTGGGCACACCTCCACGCCATGTATAGATTTTAGCATCACCTTGGTTCGGGCTTGAGGAAATGGAGGTACATCAGGACAGTGATTTACAAAAAAAACTTTGCTAACATACAACCCAGTTAACAAAGAACCACTAAGGCCTTTGCTCCTAAGCAGGATTACTAGTACCTAAAGGCACTATAGTTACAAATTGGGTTCCTCCTCTCAGCCTACTAGCTTTGTAGGTTAGGCCAGGGGTCCTCAAACTACTGCCCACGGCCCATATGCAAATACAAATATTGTATTTGTCCCCGTTTTGTTTTTTACTTCAATAAGATATGTGCAGTGTGCATAGGAATTTTTTTTTTAACTATAGTCTGGCCCTCCAACGGTCTGAGGACAGTGAACTGGCCCCCCACTTAAAAAGTTTGAGGACCCCTGGGTTAGGCTGATTGATCAAAACCTATTAGCTGCTCAACTTTCCAACCAAATTAATTTGATTCAAAGGTGAGAAGACCCTCACCACAGCCAATGAAGCCCTTGACTAAGAAAAACCAGCAAAAGCTGCCTTGAGCAGGGCTTCTTGTGAGAGGGCCCTCTACTCCACAGGTTCAAATTAACATCGTACTAACATTGTACTTCCATTCAGGCACAAATGGCGGTATCTTTGCTCAAACCAGCTGTCCTTGAAAGTTCAAAATGACCTGGGGCGGTGAACACACAGTACACCAATGCAGGTGGTGGACCACAGAATTGTCCACCGGAACCTACCATTTTTATTAACCATTTATCACTCCAAGAAATTCAACAAAATGTAAGCCTTTAGGATTTTGTTCAGTGATTCCAATTTTATTCAAACTTTGACATGAATTCACCTTTTAGCACTTCCTTCCCAAGAACTTAATCCTGAAAGGAATTCCTGTATCTAGTTTAAAATTTGTGTTGATAGCACCACATACTAAATTATGAGCCCTAACCCAAACTTCTCATTTAAACCTTCCTTAGGAATTTGCTGAACTTCAGTCATCTATACTTGACAACCCAGATACTGTGTGTAAATACTTAGGCCAGAGGGAAATCCCACCCTAGAAAGTGAGCGCTGCCTTTATAGAACATGGAGTCAGGCAATTGTATGGTGCCAATTTTAAATAGTTTTATTTAAGACGCCGCATTTTCCACTTTACAATACAGTTATAAAGTGCATTATATTTCCTTTCCCTGTGCACAGTCCATATTCAAGTATTAAGAATGCCCAGTTATTTACTATACAGCAACTCAACTTTTAAAACTGCCATGGAATTTACTACAAATTTGGGTCCTTCAATATTTTGTGTGGAACAATGCTAGATCTATGCTCAAAGCTGGCTTAATCAACCTCTTCAATGGTGGGCCCAGAGGAGGCACCGCCAGATGGTGGAGCTCCGCCACCAGGGAAGCCCCCAGGCATTCCTCCTGGCATGCCTCCTGCACTCTGGTACAGCTTGGTGATGATGGGGTTGCAGACTTTTTCCAACTCTTTCTGCTGATGTTCAAATTCTTCCTTTTCTGCAGTCTGGGAAAAGGATAAAATATTTTACCATCAAAACTTAAGGAACCTTTATGCAACTAATGCAATCTGATAAGGCACTAGACACAGAAGCTTGCCATCGCTGTAAAGACTACTTATGAAATCGTGGGCCACTCAGACATCCAAGGAAGGAAGTTGCCAACACAACTGGAATTCTGGTGGAAACCGCGAATGTTTGGACCATTCATCATTGTGACCTCCAATGTCCTCAAGCTCTAGGCCCATCTGCTCAATTTAAAAAAAACTACATACCTGGTTCTTATCAAGCCAGTTGATGATTTCATTGCACTTGTCAAGAATCTTCTGTTTGTCCTCATCAGTGATCTTGCCTTGGAGTTTCTCATCTTCAACAGTTGCTTTCATGTTGAATGCATAGGACTCAAGTGAATTCTTGGAAGACACCTTGTCCCGCTGCTTCTCATCTTCAGCTTTGTACTTCTCAGCTTCTTGGACCATGCGCTCAATGTCTTCCTTGCTCAGACGACCTGTGGCATTTAGACATGGCCTATGTTTGAAAACTAATCTACAATCCCCATCTCCGCTAAATGCCCCTCCCCCGGGGCAGAAGTATTTGGAACATGCAAACTTAAGACCCAAAGCATGTCCCTACTATTAAATTTTAAGTCCAGGTGGCATTGACACACTTAATATTGTGGTTTAACTTACCTTTGTCGTTAGTGATGGTAATCTTGTTCTCTTTTCCTGTACTCTTATCCACAGCAGAGACATTGAGGATGCCATTGGCATCAATATCAAAAGTGACTTCAATCTGAGGAACACCACGAGGTGCAGGAGGTATGCCTGTGAGTTCAAACTTGCCAAGCAGGTTGTTATCCTTGGTCATGGCACGCTCACCTTCATAAACCTTGGTAGAAAATAGAAATTACTAGAAAACTATTGCAAATTTTCTATGCTGTTCCAAGAATAACTTTAATTAGGGAAGACTGACCCGCTCAGACATCCAAGGAAGGAATTGGCCAACACAAGACTTCTGGTGGAAACTACGAATGGTTTTGGAATCCATCATCACAGCGGGCCGTCTCCCCTCTCCTCCCACCCCAACCCCCGTTGTATATCTAGGACCTTCCAATATGTCAGGCCAGGTTGAGGGGAACTCACCTGGATGAGCACGCCCGGCTGGTTGTCAGAGTAGGTGGTGAAGGTCTGCGTCTGCTTGGTGGGGATGGTGGTGTTGCGCTTGATCAGCACCGTCATGACGCCGCCAGCCGTCTCGATGCCCAGGGACAGAGGAGTGACATCCAGCAGCAGCAGATCTTGGACATTTTCAGATTTGTCCCCGGAGAGAATGGCGGCCTGGACAGCTAGGTTAGAAAGCAGTTAGTTTTAACAAAGTGCTACAACTCCTTTTTCCATTAACAATTCTCTCAATCGCTCAGACATCCAAGGAAGTTAGGCTATCATTAGCTAAGCTTTTAGTGGAAACTACGAATGTTGAAGGATCACTCATCACAGCGAGTCAGTTTGAGCCTCTCCAGAGGCTACCATTAGAACTGTCCAAGTAGGATCATTGGATTACCTGCACCATAAGCGACAGCCTCATCAGGGTTGATGCTCTTATTCAACTCTTTTCCATTGAAGAAGTCCTGTAGGAGTTTCTGAATCTTGGGGATACGAGTAGAGCCACCCACCAGGACAATATCATGGATCTGGGACTTGTCAAGCTTGGCATCCCGAAGGGCTTTCTCTATGTCGAAGTCTTCTCCACCTAAGTGGGTGTCCCCAGCTGTAGATTTGACCTCAAAGATTCCATCTTCAATTGTGAGGATTGACACATCAAAAGTGCCACCTCCCAAGTCAAAGATCAGCACATTTCTTTCAGCTCCAACCTGCCATTAGAATGAAGATTGCTTGTTAAATTAATTTCAGATGCCAACTTTTTACTAAGGCTCGTATTTAACCTTAAAGTAATGCAGATATGCAGCACAAATGGTACACACCTTTTTGTCTAAACCGTAAGCAATAGCAGCAGCAGTTGGCTCATTGATGATTCTAAGTACATTGAGACCAGCAATAGTTCCAGCATCTTTGGTGGCCTGACGCTGAGAGTCATTGAAGTAAGCAGGGACTGTGACAACAGCATTGGTAACAGTCTAATAGGAAAAAATAAAGGATACTGTAGTTCATACACACTGGTAGTCCTATGATCACCTACTCAGACATGCACTTAAAATAGAGCAAATTACAGGAAACATTTTTGTGAACACAAATAGACCAGTTTGACAACTTGTCTGTATATTCTTGGTCAGTCAAAACCCAAATCATCCACCCACCAGAGAACTAAGTACCTGGTGTGGCCATCTCCAGCTGTGCTGTCCACACTGCACTACTCACCTTCCCAAGGTAGGCCTCTGCGATTTCCTTCATCTTTGTCAGAACCATGGATGACACCTCTTCTGGATAAAAGCTTTTTGTCTCTCCCTTATATTCTACTTGGACCTTGGGCCTGCCAGCGTCATTCACCACCATGAAGGGCCAATGCTTCATGTCAGACTGGACAACAGCATCGTCAAATCTACGTCCAATCAAGCGCTTGGCATCTGCACAAATATTAGAAATGCAAATCCAAATCATCAATTTCCTTACCTTTTCCCAAACATCCTAGGCTCTCAATTACTCAAATACTGATGCCTAGCAACCCACGTTCATAGTAAATTATTTCAACTTTTGTATGGCCAGCAAATTTCGTAAGTTTTCCTGAGCTGCCCATATCTCAAAATTTTAGCCTAAGCAGTTATGGACTGCTACTCATGTATATTTCATCTACGCTTTTTAAATGATTCTTCCAATTCTTAGGGCTTTCCTGGTCCCACACTTAATATTTAAACCTGAATTCTGCACAATAGGTGCCCCGGGCTTAGCTTAATTTACGCCGCGACTTTAATATTAGAGACTTACCAAAGACCGTGTTGGTAGGATTCATTGCTACTTGATTCTTTGCAGCATCACCGATCAATCGCTCAGTATCAGTAAAGGCAACATAACTCGGGGTGGTTCGGTTTCCCTGATCGTTGGCAATTATCTCCACTTTTCCATGCTGGAATACACCCACACAAGAGTAGGTGGTGCCAAGATCAATGCCAACTGCAGGTCCCTTCGACATGGTTGCTGGAAAAAAGTTTGAGTGCTTAGAAATGCTTATTTTGTTAAGTTGAAAATCAGGCTACCACTTTTAAATATATTTTTATTGACTTCTGAGTTAGAAGAATAGAATCAATTTCGAGATCAGCTCGCCTCACACTGGGGATCCAGCCCACAACCGTGAGCACGTGGCCTGCCGGGATCGAATGGTGACCCATTTCATAGGTCGGGTGAGCCCGGCACAGTATGACCACTCAGTAGCGTTGCCGGCGGTAACCTCACGGGCGGGTTAAAGCCACTGCAGTCCCGGGGGCCTGGGCCCGCCCCCGGCTGAAGGAAACACCGCCCGGGAAGGCCTGTGCCATTGGCGACCACGTGGCCTCAAGCCCGATTGGGACCTTGCTCCCCCCACCCCACCCCGACTGCTTCCCCACCACGCGGTGCTCCCGCCCGCTGCACCGCCGGCGCAGAAAGTGCTCCCCGAGGCCCCCTCCCCCGCCTTGGGCGCGCGCCAGTAATGGCTGCCAGAGAACGCGGGTGGACCTGCCTAACCAGGCAGCAGGGGAGCGCAGGGGCGGCTGTAAAGCGCTCCACTTCCGCGCCGAAGGCGGCCGCGGCCCCTCCCTTCACTCTCCTGCGCGCGGGCGGCTCGTCGCCTGCTTCCCCGACTGCGCGCCCCACGCCCGCTCCTCCACCGGGTTAAATAAATAAAGCAAGCTCTTTGGCTTCAATTTTAAATAGAAACCTTTATTTACAATGACACCCAAATGATCAGCAAAACAGTCATAGCTTACCACACAACCATCTCATAAGTTATCCCACGTGGTCTTGAGTCTTTGCAGTTTAAAGGA